TCTCTATTTAATTGCATGTGGTATTTCTTTATGAGAAAGACTTAGAATCTAATATACTTAGTGCTATATACTTAATTTTTCCCAATCAAATCGAAATAAGTGAATTTTGTTAAATAAAAATTTATAAAAAAATTCACTTATCTTAATTTAATTAAAAATAAATATTTTAAGTATTAAAACTAAAAATACAAGTTTTCTTCTTTTTTTGTATTGGGCACAGGCCAAATTTTTTGTTGTTGTTTTCGGAGCTTTAATAGCCCAACTTGCAATATTTTTAGATGGAGTTTCTTACCGTTAATTTTCAATGATGGAACGTTGGAGGATAAAAAATCTTTACTTGTATGGAAAAAACTTTGTTGAGAGGGCTCCCTGTTACAGCGTCTGACAGTACTTTGAAAAATTAATCTCTTACCGTTCAGGTGAGAAGATACTATAGGCAACCAAAAAAAAAAAAAAACATGTGACACATGATTGATAGGGTCAGGCTTAGCAAAAAAAGTAAATCTTTCATGATACGGTAAATCAAAATTTAAATTCATACTTAAAAAAGTATCTAACATTTAGTGCCTTGTAAAAACTTATACACGTGATTCTTAGTAGTTGCATTGTTGCTTTCGTGCCGTTGGCGTCATTGGTGAGAGGAGCACCTAGTAAATAATCAATGTCTCTTCTTATCCTCTCATTTCTTTAAATTTTTTCAAAGGGTTAAGGTGCAATTTTAACAACAAAGTTTACCCTAAGGGGTACTGGGCACCATAAAGTTTATTTGGGTGCAAAAATATACATGAAGTTGTCAAAAGGGAGCATCTGACACCATGCCGTTAACGTCCGTTAGAGGGGCTCAGAAAGTCAGTTTTAAGGTGCATTTTTAACAATAAAGTTTGCATCAATGGGCATTAGGCACCATGAAATTTACTTGGGTGTAAAAATATACATGAACTTTGTAAAAAACAAAAAAAACAAAATTCTTCAACTTCCATAAACGTCCATTAATTTTATTCTTTTTGGTCTCGCCAAATGCTATATTTTCTCTCCATCAATTTTCACTTCCAAGTCGATCCATCTTTCTCTCATCATAGTCAACACGCACACTCTCTCTGTCATGTCGTTTTCTTAGCCTCCAAGCCTTTTATATGTATTTAAGCAAAACACATCTTTCCCTTCTAGGATATGAGGTTTATTGCTTGCATCCAAGTACTACCTCCAGTCCTTAATATAGGATGCAATGGACTAATTTGAGGAGATTAAAAATAAATAAATAAGTAAATTTCATGGTGCTTAATGCCCCTTGATGCAAACTTTGTTGTTAAAAATGCACCTTAAAACTGACTTTCTGTGCCCCTCTAACGGTAAACTAACGGACGTTAACGGCATGGTGCCAGATGCTCCCTGTTGACAACTTCATGTATATTTTTGCACCCAAATAAACTTTATGGTACCCTGTACTCCTTAGAGTAAACTTTATTGTTAAAATTACACCTTAACCCTTTTTCAAATAAAACGAGACGTGATATTATGATTTATATTTAGATAAACCTTCATCAAATAACCGGTTTGACATAAACACATTTAAATGACATATGGAAAAGTTAATTTTATACTACTAGTGTTTAAATTTGAAGAAAAGTCAAAAGATAAAAGGTTTTTTAAAAAAATTGTTGCATTTCAACTAAAGTTACTTTTTTTTGTTTGGGGGGGGGGGGGAGAAGAGAACCAATTGCCTCTATAATCATGCCAAATATGATTTGTAACCTAAATTCATATTTTCAGTTCAGAAGGCCAAAGGCAACCTGATTCCATGGGCACAGAAAGTTCATAGTTTCAATTATTAAATCAATATTAATGCTTTTGACATTTAAATTTATAAAGATTTGATTAAAATCATTCAAATTACAGAGACTTGTTCAAAATTAATTCTGGCAGAATACTTTTGTTCTTTTTGGGAAACAAATATGGCAGGTTGGGCCAGGTAATGGAAGGATGGACCTCCTGGTCCTGGAGTCTGCTTTTCACATTGGTACACCAGCAGATCCATTTACACACACTACAAGATAAATAAGTGGTCCATTTCCCCTGATTTCGGGCCAACATAATCTGCAATCATTTTCTTTTTTCTTTTTTATAAAAAGAACTCCTTTTCAGACTTTCCTTTCCAAAATCCATTTTTGATTTGATAAAGAGGTCAATTCTGTTAAAATATTTTTTACGATAATGATATATTGATTTTTCGAGTTTACATCTCTTTATCTAAGCTTTTTTGCCTAATCGCATAAAATAAAATAGATAGTTAGTTGACAGAAAAGTAATTCAAATGCACATAATTAATAAGAGAGATTTAAAAAATCAACACATTTATTAGTACCAATTTAACTAGTTCTTTTAGTATCCGCAATCTAGTTGTGATAGGAGACAGTAATATTACTTCCAGTCTTTAATATAAGAGTTGGTTAACTAATTTGAGTAGATTAATTAAGTTTGTTCAGTCAGTCACTTGTAATAAATAAGCAATGTCTTTTTTAAAATACCCTTACTAATTATGTGTATTAGCTAAAACTAGCATTTAATGAAATACTTAACATATGCCACTACTACATGAACTACGTTGAGAAAAATAAATAAATATGAGAGATAAAGTAGATTGAAATTTAATATTTAAAACCAAATTAAAAATTAAACTAACGCTCATATTAAATACTGAAGTAGTAACATTTAACAATGGAGGGAATGACACTCATTAAGTTCATGTGTTTTTGTCTCTTGTCCCACACACCCCCCCCCCCACTTTACATCTGTGCTAAATATTTGGCAGAATTGTGGAAGAGCTTTGCGGCTCGTGATGCCTCAATTCAGAAGTTATAAAATAACCCTTTTGTTTAGGGAAAAAAATGGGAATATAATACCACATTCATGGTTGTTGTTGTTCTTATTATTATTACTACTACTACTACTATTATCACTACCACCACCTCCTTCGATCCTAATTATAAGAGTTAGTTAACTAATTTAAAGAGATTAAGGAAAAAAGTTAAGTTAATTATTTGTAACAACTAAGTTTTGTCTTTCCTAAAATATCCTTACTAATCAAGTGTATTGGCTAGAATTACTATTGTTAGAAGGATTACTTTGGGGAAAAAATACATAAATATGAGAGATAAAGTGGATTGGGTTTTTATATTTAATATCAAAATAAAAATCAAATAAGGTCTTATATTAAGGACCAGAAGTAGTATTTCTCATCTCCCTTTCCAAATTAAATAAGAGAATATTCCAATGGCTTCCTTCCACCCCAACTAATCCAAATAAAGAAGCAGCCTTGAGGTTTTTCTGAATACTATATAAAGATATAAAGAATCTTGGATTATTCTATTGCAGCATCCATTGCAATACCAAAAATTATATTTATTTATTTCATTAATTAATAAAAATATGCTTTGTACAATGACTTCCATCGTCATCACAACAGGTGCAGCGGAAAGAAAAAAGAATCTACCAGTCTACCGGACACACCTCACTGGTTATCATCAAATGTATACAACGATCTAAATAATTCGGCTTACAAAACAACAGAGAACCATTTAAATAAACTCATTAAATTTGGCACAGAAACCCAATCCCACTATACACCATAAAAAAGTAAAAAACTCTAACAAGTAATCACCTTTAATTGATCAAATGATGTTCATTAGAGTGTTCATGGGGCAAGATCAGAACATGATCATAAGATCGTGACAACCCCATCCCAATCTCATAAAAGTTTATTTTTGAAGGACAAAATAAATATAAACTCAAAATATTCACACACAAAATATCATACAACCTACGCAAAAAAATTTGTAAATTGTAAATAATATAATCATTAAAAATATATATTATTATAATAATAAGTAAAGTAAATTTATAAAAATTAAAAAATTAATATATCAGGACAGGAGTGTCCAATTTCACTTTTGGGACGGGACAATCTCATTTCAAAAGAACTGAGATTGAAATATAATACTACCTCCGGTCCTAATTATAAGAGCCAGTTGACTAATTTGAAGAGATTAAAAAAGTAAGTTGAATTAGTTATTTATTCTAAATAGGTGTTGTCTTTCCTAAAATATCCTTACTAATCAAATGTATTGACTAGAACTATCATATTTAGAAGGGCTACTTTGAAAAAAATGTATAAATATGATAGACAAAGTGGATTAGGGTCTTATATTTAGAACCAAAATAGAAGTCAAATAGAGTCTTATATTAAGGACCGGAAGTAGTACAATTGAACACCTCTAATTTTGTATAATAAAAGAAACCCTAAACAAGTTAGGATTAGCATGCAATTTTACTCTTAAATTATTTTTTGAGGGCTTATTTTAGAATGGATTATAATCAACTTTTTAATCGTGATTTACGAAATACAAGATAAAAATATAAGAAGAATTTTATTTCAACTTACTTAAGAATACTTATAAGCATTTAATTGCAAACACCAGTCCAAACAAACACTAAAATAATTTTTTATAAAAATGCTTCTTAAAATATTTTATCAATGGCATTCATCAGTTGCAATTTATCTTTTGTAGTTGGAATGAGCACTTAGACCATTTTTCAGTCATGAGATTTTAAGATGTTTGAGTATTACTTAAAAAAAATATTTTAAAGATAAAATTAAACAAAAGACTTATTTGAAGTCGTTAAACCATAAATAATACTAATACTTTTAAGTTACCTCAAGCTTCAATTATCAAACTCAACCTTATTCAAATTAGTCAGATCTAGTGTAAGTTTTCAAAATATAATCTCTTAACTAAATATTTTTTCTTCATTTTTCATTTGATAACTGCACATTTTTCTCTTAATTAAATATTTCAATTTTGCTCTACTAGTATAGTTAGCTCTTCCAACAGAACAAAATTACCAGAACTAATAGTGCTAAAAGAACAAAATTAAAATATTTAATTATGACAAAACACGTTTTGCCAAAAAAAGAATAAGAGAAAACACATACAAATATCAAATTAAAAATTAAGAGAAGCTACACATTATTGCAAAATGATTTTTCCTTACGTAAACACACAGTGCTTGTGCAGCAAAGTACTTACCACTTGCAATCTATTTGATTGATATGTCTGTGGGGAATCAATCATCAATAATAAATAAAAACAAAGATAATGTTGAAGCTTGTTTTTTTTTTAGGCATACATCGTTTTCACTACCAACTTTGAATAAGAAAAAGCTAAAAACTGTGGACAAAAGCCCAACATCAATTTTCAATTCAATCCAACACAAATAGCTTCTTCTTCTTTTTTACTTTTCCCGACAAAACTCATTGATTCTTCTTCAAAACTATCTTTATTACAGCCTTCCTTAGTCCTTACCTTAGCCTTCCCAAACCCCTTCTTCTTCTTCTTCTTCTTCCATCGTCCTCATCATCATCACAAGAAATCAAGAAAAACAGAGCAACTTGATATTACAATGAGGTTCCCACGAAAGATGGAATGGATTTTGTGGGACTGATCATTCTCTCCCCAGAAAATCGTTCAAAACCCTAAAAGAACTAGTTAAACATGGTACAATAATCTAAGATCTTTCAAGGTTTTTTGAAGGAAACCTAGGATATGGGAAATTCCCCTGCTTCCAATTTTTCCATCCCTTCTTCTTCTTCTTCCATCAGAATCCCTTGGTATCGACATTCTCTGCTGCAAAATGCCCTTTCACCCCTGAAACGCATCAAACAGATTGAGATTCATTCCTTTCCTTTTACAATGCCCTAACTATGAACAACTATGAACGATGCAGAGTCTTTATATTTGCATATGATATCTCAAACTAAGAAAATATGAAATCTAAGTTATTGTATGTATTATCTTATTAAGAAAATTAGTCCTTATTGTTTATTATACATGGCTATATTACTTTTTTTTTTTTTGGTGCATGCATGAATATAAAGAATAAAATTTATGATGCTTCTAAGGATACATAGACCGAAGACTAAGCTAACAATTTGGTAAATGAATTATTTGGCTTCACAAATTAGTTGATTCTGGGCTTCTTTGTGTCTCCAGAAAGTAATATACTCATTGCCCAGTTATTCTTCTGACAAATTAAATTGAACTTTCATATTCATAAATTGAGTTGTATAATTTAAAAATCAATTTTTTATGTTTTCAACTCGAATCGCATCATTTCATAATTCAAACTCGCAAATGTTAATTTTTCAAAAAAAAATTGTTATATCGCACAATAAAACAACTTTTCAACTCTGATTCCCCTTGTTTAACTTTCATGTCAACACAAGAATCTCTCCTTGTTTTCCTTTTTAGGGTGAGATTAAATTGAAATGAAACATAGTTTTCTTCTGTCAAAATTTGTGTCAAATTAAACTCTATATAAACAAGAGTCTGCCATCCAATTAATTAATCATACTTTGATTAGATTCAAGTGTTAAAAAATCAACAATGAATTATTACAGAAGGAAGAAAGTTACCTGTACATGAAGATGTCTTTGCCTTGGCCAAGATTCTTCTTACAGTAAAAGCAGGAGCTCAGAAAGCTCTCCGACGGATACCCAAACTCATTCTCCTTCATCGCCGTCGCCGGAGAAGACAACCCAATTCCGACATCGAAACAGCTACTCTCAATGACGCAGTCATCAAATATATGAGTCGTTCTCGGGTTCGGACCATGCGAGGTCACCCGAGTGTACTCCTCGGAGCTCTCGATCTCACTCGCAGAGAGACAACCTGGGGTCACTCGAGGCGAATAATTCGAGCTCGCAGATCCAAACCCAGATTTCTTCTCCGGCGGCTTCATCGATTCCGATGGAGCAATCAAGGGAATCTGGATCTTCAGCTGGGATCCGAAAACGACCATTCGGTTATCGGGTTTGGATGAAAAGTTCGGGTTTTGATCGTCGTCAATGAGAGAATCAACAAGGCCGAGACCCACTGGTTTCGAATCGAGCTTATCCCAATAACGCCGGGGCTGTTCAAGGGAAGAAGAAGGCGGTGTTCTGGGGCTGTTCGTTTCAGACCAAAAAGGGTTTTTGAAGACGGAGAAGGGTTTATTGGAATCAAGTATGGAGGTTGGGCTCATGATCGTTTCAGTTTCGAAGAACCCTTTTGAAGTGAGGTTCGTGAAAAGCCCCGGCGAGCTGAAGAAAGAAGAAGACGAAGTGGGGTTTCTGTAATTTCCCGATGGAGACTGTAACGGAGAAGAAGCAGCAGAATCCGCCATTGTTAGAGCTTGCCTGCTTCTAGAACCTGTCCCTGTGGATCTCTTCCTCAGCATCACTCTCTACGCGAAACAGAACCAAACACACACAAATAAAAAGTTTCAGAGAATTACAAGTTTAGATTCTTAAAAACACCGTCTTTTTGCAGCAGAGTGCGGGAAACTGACCAGAGAGAAAGAAAACAAGAAACTTTTTCTGGGTTTTCTGGGCTTAAACCTCTGTGACCTCCATATTTCTAAAGAAGAGCGAGTTTCTTTTTCTTTTCTTCGCAGAGATTTCTCGCCCTCGGTTTCTGAAAATGGAATCAGAGAGAATCCATCACGAGTCGTGATCAAAAGGGCCAGAGCTTCAGAAAAAAGTGTGTTTCCATCATTCTATAGACATATAAAAGGTCATACACCAAAAGAAAGTATCTTTTAGTGACGACAGTATTTTAAATAAAATTATTTTTAATAAAAAGATATATTCTTCAAAAAAAAAGAAAAAAAGGTCATACACCAAAAGAAAGTATCTTTTTAACATAATTTTTAATAAGCATACTGTTTACCTCACTCATAAATAGCGTGTATAGACTAGAGAGCAGGGTAGAGCATGGAATGCACACTAATAAAAGCAGCCTCTACTGTTAAATACAGGAGCCGGATGAATGATTTGTTTTGTTCATTTTAAATATAAAATTTATTTATACTATAATAAATATAAAACTTATTTATTATTAGTATATTATAAAATGAATCTTATATTTAAAATTAGAATAACATAAATATCAATTCACTTTATTTTTTAAAATTTATAATTTTTCTTCAAAATATTCATATTAATTGCACATAATAAGAAAACTCTCATAAGAAATAGCTCCAACACACATGATTAAAAAAAATATCTTGTGAAACCAGCTTATGTATGTGACAAATGATTGACTTAATTAATTTTTTTAATATTTATAAATTAGTTATTTAACTGTTATAATAAGCATAAGAGGTAGTGTTAATATTTAATTAATATTAATGTAGAAATAACATGATTTGATAAAAAGATTTAAAAAAAACTGTTGTAATATTTATTACTAATAAATACTAATAAATATTATATTGATTTTAAAAAAAAAATTCTTTCTTATCCTTGGCACACTATAATAATCATACACATTAATCATATTTTAAATTCTTAATCATAAAATCCTTTATTCTAAAATTTATAATAAAACATTTATAATGATGGGCTAAGGTGTGGGTTTTGAACCAAAAAAATAGAAAAGAGATGTCTATAATTTTAGTAAAATAGAGGGTTGATGATTATATTTTTGTACTCTAAAAATTATCATAAATAAAAACCACTCATGGTGAAATTAAATGGGTTGTGACTTGCCATTTCAACACAATTTCAATTTTTGTAAATGTAAAAAATGTATTTGAAAAAGTTATCTAAGATCGATCAGACTCAAATCCATATTAATCAAAATACAGTGTGATTTCAAATAGGTTATAATTGGCTAAAAAATTATAAAAGTAATCATATTTATATATTATAAATCATAACTCAATTAAAATACTACAACAATAATACACCATCAGTTCCTAAATATAAAACACTTCTAACATCAACTGATAATAGTTAAATCATTTTGAAAATGAATTAACCTTTTAAGTTTATCTCTATTTAAAACATATTTTTCATTAAATCATAGGAAAATGTAAAAAGATTATTAAAAAACAAGTTAATCAGTACTCTCAACTTTTTATATGAAGTGATTAATATCTATCTAAGTATATATATAATATCATTGAATTATTTTAAAAGAGGAGTAATTGGAGTGGAGGGAGTAGTAACTTTTATTTTCCAAGGCCATCAATCTTGTTATTGTTTTTATCTGTTTATTTTAAATGTTTATAAATATTTTTATATAAATCAATAGAAAAAAAGTTTATACATTTTTTTTTCATATCCTATAAATCATGATTGAAAACTGTTTTTAAAAATTGTTACTGGCAAACCCAACATTACAAGTTACAACTTACAACTTACAACTATAATATAACTGAGTCTATACTCAGGGCTTATTTGAAATAGTTTATAAACTATTTTTTACACTTATAATTTACAGAATATTAAACAAATATTTAAGAAAAAATTTATCTTGACTTTTATAAATATGCTTATTAATCATAAATCCAAACAAGTTATCTTATGAAATCAAAAAAAGAAATGGAGGAATAATTGGGATTCTCTCTCTCTCTCTCTCATGCACAGAGCCATCACCGTGTGAGAACGTCAGTGGATCAGAACGGAGCGGTGTGATGACGAAGAGGGCATCGATGGCGATGCCAGATATGGCCACTCTCAACTCAAGCCACCCTCACATCATCCTTCTCATTCATTACCCCAAAAAAAAAAAAAAGTCCTTCTCATCCCTTTCATTACTATTCTTACTTTTTCATTATTTTTAAACTAAAATTCACATAATTCTCCTGAGTTTTTTTTTTCCGGAGTAAATTCTCCTGAATTTCATCTCAGTTGTACATAAACATAAATTTTCTGATATTTTAAAACTTAAATTAAATTTAATCTTGTTTAAGTTTTAATTTTTGACATTAAAATTTATTTCGTTTTTTTCATCCTTAAATTACTAACAAAAGCTATCACATTAGATTAACAAGGATAATGTAAAATTAAGAAATTTATATTATAGCATACAAAATATCCTAAATTTTAAATTAGAGTTAGTTACATAAATTACATGCGCCAACAAAAATTAGTTTAATTAGTAAAGAGCTGCTTTATAACTCGTAAAGTCATGTAAGCACTCCTCTGTTAATGGGTGATAACTTTAAGTACTTTTATAAACGAGTTTGAAGCCATACCTTACTTTTGGTGAGGCTTTATAAAACACCAACTCACCTAAGGTTGGTATAAAAAATAACATGATGTTATAATTATTTTTTCACAGTATGATATTATTATATTTTATTATATAAACTAATTCTTTAAATATATTATTCATTAATAAAACTATGTTGATAATTCTCTTCATTTTTTTAGTCTCCTTCTACTTTGTAGTTTTTTTTTCCAAATAAGACTGAAAACTTTAAAATTCATCTACATGACTATTTGCGAGGCACAAAGGAGAGAAAATTAGAACGTCATCTTGGCAGTGTACTGAAAATGTAGGCCTTCATTGTCACCGTAATATAAGTAAACAACAAAGAAGAATCTCGAGTGCATTATTTATATTTAAATTTTTTTTATATAATATAGGGAAGCCAATTAACTTATTTAAATAATACTAAAACTAAACTTTATTCCATTTGTAAAAACTAAAAATAAACTTTTTTGGTCATTTTGTACGAGTACCACCCAGCGACTACTCACCAGGAAATATACTCCCTCTCATATTCTTTATACAAGAATAAAGTCAAAAAATGATTAAATTTTAAATTATAATGAATAAGATTTATAATTTTTAATTTTAGTAAAATATGTTCAAAATTCCTGATAAATAGAAAGAAAATGATAAACACGCATTTAATTAAAAATGACTTGATTCAATTAGTAAAAAATTAACTTACAACCCACAAGGTTGTGTGTTCAAATCTTGATGTCGATATAAAGATCTTGTTAGAAAACAGTCTGTAAGTAACTTTATAAGTATTCTAATAAGAAGTAACTTAGAATTAAGCTCTCTTCTATAAATAATACTTCTCTAATTCTAAATATAATATTTATTTTATAATATAATTTATATTATAAAATAGGTATTATAAAGAGTAATATTTAAAAAATGCATCATATTTTTCTGTATTTGTAATAATTTCTGAAATACTAGTAAATATCTAAGATCATGAGTACTAAAAAATAAAAAGGACAAGGTAGGGCCCACACTACGGGGAGCCGCGAAATAGGAAATGGAGAAGTCCCTTCCCGGTCACGAACTAATGTGCAGATAGTAACGCCATAGGGTCCTGCACCACACCGGGACCCCATCGATCAGCGTTAAAATAAATTGTTAAAAGAAAAGACCCCACACCAATGACGTGGGCCCACCTGACTCTGTGTTTTTCAGAGGCCCCCACGGGTCCCACCTCAACTTAACTCCAGTTGAACTTAAAAAAAACCCCACGATTCCTGCTTTGACTGGGGCCCACCTTCCCTTTTGTTGTCACGTCATCATCATTTTTCCCCTCCACTTCCCCCCGTTAATTATTGTTGATCATAATGATAATAATAATAATCAATGCGAAAATTATCATATCAGCTACCTCGCGGAATTACGGCAGTGCCCACGCCGAAAGGCTGGGATTTTAGGTACGGTGAGAAGGACTTGACTGGGAATAAGTGACTTGAATTGGGACAGAGTGGGAAAGAGGGGTTTTGAAATGCTGCCGGCACAGGGCTCAATCATGGATTTTATGGTCCATCATCGTCAGACCATACGCCACTCAACAATAAGCTCTGACCGGACCCATTGGTTACGGGTTAGGTCGGAAATTGGAATCCCCCAAACATTCACGGTTATATTTCATCACCCAGGTAAAATAATATTACTTTACCTCTTATTCAATTTAGTTCTAAATATACTTATATTTATTCTTTTTTATGATAATTTTGTAAATATTTTATCAAGTGATAGTTCTAATTAATACATATGATTAGCAAGGTATTTTAGAAAAAAAAAGCAATACCTGTTTATTATAAATAATTAATTTTTTTAATTTACTCGAATTAGACAATTAGCTCTTATATTAAAAATTAGAAATGACAATTAGCTAATGCTGATAATTCTTGTGAAGATATTAACTATTCTTATAGAAGTTATGATATACTAAAATCATCTATTTGTTAATTTAAAATTCAACAAGTATATTTTTGTTATTTTTGCTTTTAACTTACAATTTAATTATTGAAATTCTATAATTTTTTACAAAATTTTTTCCTAAAAATATTTCTTCATTTACGCGTATTATTCTTGGATGTCAATGGTTTTGCAATGAGGAGGTGTGTGTGTGTGTGTGTGTGTGTGTGTGTGTGTGTTTTATAAAATTTACACCACACTAAATGTGTGATTTTACCTTAAACCCGTGCAAAGCAGGAGATTAATAATTTAATATACCTATTTTTATATTATATTCTAATTATCCACCACCTTTTGCGGCAATATGATGATGGATTGATGGGGGTGATTGTAAATGCAAAAATCGATATTTAGTCCGTGAAAAAGTATAACTAGCTTATTTGGATGATAATTAGTTTCTGTTCTTTAATTGCTTATAGGTTTTTT